TGTGTCTCTTTTGGTTGGGTTGGTTAGTTGGTTGTGGTAGTTAGCTTCTGGTAGTTTGTTTCTTTTCTCTTCTTTTTCTGACTTTCGGGATTATGTATTCTAGCTAGGCCTTGGGGCGTTGGAGAGATACATAGTCTGTGTTTATTTTTATTTATTTTTAGTCTTTGAGGTTTTAGGTGCTTTCTATAGTACCTCTCAGTTTCTTATTTTGTAGGGATTTGCCCCATGTACTCGAACTTTGTTTGCATTTGTTTTAGTAATATCATCTCTATCGTTCTGGCAAAAAAAAAAGAAAAATAGTTGCACAATATTTAAATTTTGGTATGATTTTGAGAAAAAATTCCCAGACTGCCGGCTTTTTGGTTTGTTATTATTATTGCACAATATTTATAATTGCACAATATATAAAATAGGTACATATATCAAGTAATATTTATAATTGCACAATATTTTAATTTTGCATTGGTCATACTATGTTTTTAAAAAATGTAGAATATTATTCACATTTTCAAAAAGCCGAGCCGTCTTTGTTAAAATAACATTTAAAATTCCGAGACGTATATGGTATGAAAATATAATTGTGCAAGAATATTTTTCAATACTTTTTCTCAACAACAACGATTGGTCACATGCGATTAATTTGTTGAAGAAAATAAACAAATCCACGAGAATTGAAGAGATTGGATTACTATGTAAATATCCTTTTTTATAAGATATTAGTTTTCTTATTTATCTCTCTTAACTAATTAATGTATATTCTACCTAATTATCTTCCCCTAACTAAATCTCATTGTATATTTTCCTAGGATTTTAATAGATGTGAAACTCATCTAATATATTTTTATAAATCGTCCAGAAAAGATCTTCCTACAATCGTATTCTCCTCCGTATAAACTTTTATTCATGATTCATTCCAAGTTTTTATCTCGAGAGATACAAATTTTAGAGGATGCTTGGATATAAAACATTTTAATTTTGTTTAAATTTTTTTGTTTGGTTTGGTTGGTTTTGAAAAAGTTGGTATGGTTAGTTGTTAGTGAGTATATTAAAATAAAATATTTAAAGTTGAGTTTTTGTAAAGTAGGAAATAAAAGATTTGAAGTGATGGTTAGTTAAAATTATGTGAGTGGATGAATAGTGAATTAAGGTTGATGTGGTGTGTAAGAATGGTTGATTGATATTATTTAATTATATTGATAAAATTGATGATAGTGGAGTTGAGTTAAAATTGAGTTAAAAAAGTGATTGAGTTAAAAATGTTTGGATTTTTTTGAGATGTTTTGTATCCAAGCATGCTCAATATTAGAGATCCATTTTTTTCCCTCCAAATCACATCACAATAGATTTTTTTATATAATAACAGTAAACTGAAAAAGAAGAAACAATAATTTTCAGCCAAACAATTCAATCGACAACCACCAACTGCCGCACCCAACTCATCCCAAGCCGCGAACCCGTCGTACTTCACCCTCTGCACGTGGATCCTGAGATTCTCCAGCGACTTGCCTAGCTCCTCCTGTCTGATCTTGCCGTCACCGTTCCAATCGGGCACGGAGGAAACCCAATGGAGCTCCAACGTGCACATCTCCTCATGTAGAGGGTGGAATTGTTTGGCGAGAATTAATTTGGATTCATTCGAAATGATTTTGATCAGTAGACTTATTCATAGATTAGAGATATTTTAAGAAAACTTAATTACCTACCTAAGAAAATATTTGGCTTCCAAACATTGCAATATTGTAGTGGTTAAGTCCGTATGATATCATATAATTATTTGTTACATTAATGGGTGATAATTATTCCATAATTTTCGTGTATTCTTAGGAATATGGATTAGATAATTATGGACACAATAAAATTACAAACTTAAAATAGATTCTCCCGGATTTTACACATTGACTTTTTTAAAAACTCAAAAACATGTCTAAAAAGGATAAACAATTTTTTTAAAAAAAAAATACTAATAAGAGTAAAAATAAAAATTTTTGGCGGAATTTTAGTTTCTTTTTTAAGTAAATCCCTATCTTTCTTTTTATATTAATAGATTCATTTCATTTACCTTTATTATTATTCCTTTTATGTTTAGTATTTAATTGATAAGAGAATAATTATTTATTAGCTTGTTTAGTGGACAAGTTGTTACGAGGGATGTAGAAGCCTTATTTAAAGGACTCCTTCTCTTGGATGTGACACAGTTGATTATTGAATAAAAATACATCGTTTGAGATTGAAATATCTTTTATCTTCTTCCACTCGTATGCTTCTCTACATCAGTTGGTATCAGTGACCAGTCACGATCAACGATGCCGCCACAGAGATAAGACGCTGCAGATGATGGGTGTGACGCCGCCATCGACAACCTGAGCCGCCAGTACGATGGGTTTGGCCGCTTGTTTGAGACGATGGGTCGTCAGATTGCGGATCTGTCTGCCGGGACCGGGGACATTCGATTGACTCTCTGTATCATTGTTGAGGGTGAGCAGATGAACGGCGACACCGGCGACAGGGTGGGCACGGGGGACTCTGCGGTGGGCGTGGAGGACGTGGCATAGGCGAGGCGCCCTGCCGACGTTCACCGCCACCGCCACCGTCCACTGTCGTCGCGAGCCGCAGCGCGAGGACGACGCCTTCGGGAACTCGCGCTGGGAGACTGTTTTTCGGGTCGAGATCCCTGAATTTTCATGGGCCTTTGTGAATGCACAAGGGTCGACTGAGTATGAGGGACCGTCTCATTTTGATGACGAATAATCGTTCGACAGGGGGAGAATGATGGAGATAAGGATCTTTAGAATCTTTAATTTAATTATTTGTTTCCCTCTTTATTATTATGATTATTAGTGGTATTCTAGGCTAGGAAACTTATTTATTTTATTATTATTATTCAAAATCCTTGACTTGTTGGACAAACAAGGAATCTAGGTTTTCTAGGAGTCGCGGTTTTTAGGAGTCTGATTTAAATACCCCTTCTCATTTGTTTTGAAGCAGTTGAAGATTGAATAAAATTTATGTATTTACAAGAGAAATATCTTCTCTTATTTCCCGTTCGTACGCTACGCTACATCGGAGTGGGAAAAGAAAATTGATGATATGGAAAACCATTTGTTTTTTTTTTTTTCAAAATGATAGAGCTTATGAACAAAACACATATTTTCAACTGATAACTACCAGTACAACTGACTCAAAGAGTTACACGAAGGTAGCCTAGAATCGACAACTAACGCAACACATCCCTAATTACAACACTACCTAACTCTGCAAGTGGTGAATAGACCTATAAAAGAATAAAACTAGTTACCAACACAAAACACAAAATAACACAACCAACAGGAATAACCTAATGGAAAATCATTTGTCATTGGTTATCAATGTCTAACTTTATTCCAACTCAAACCAACAAAAGAAGTGCACTCTTATTTCTCTGATCTGTTTACATCCTCAAACCCCACACTAGACTGGTGTTCTCTTGAAGGCATTCCATGCTTAGTCACTGAGGAAATGAACAATAAGCTTGTGAGACCTGTGACCATTGAACAACTTAAGCAAGCCTTGTGGGAAATGCATCCAAATAAAGCCTCAGGTATTGATGGTATGTCTCCTCATTTTCTTCAATCCTCTTGGAATACTATCAAAGATTCTTTGTTTCAGGCTGTTCAAATTTTTTTCCTTACTGGCAGAATGCCTAAGGCCACTAATCTCACAGTTATAAACTTAATCCCCAAAAAGCCAAATGCCCAATCCCTTTCTGAATTCAGACCAATAAGCCTCTGTACAGTTACTTATAGAATTATCTCTAGTATTCTAGCTAATAGATTGAAATCAGTCCTATCTTTTTGTATCAATCCCCAACAAACTGCTCTTGTCCCGGGTAGACAGCTTTTAGCTAATTTTGTTATAGCCAATGAATGTATCCATTATCTTAATAGTAAAAGGTATGGGCAAAATAGCTTTATGGCTCTTAAATTAGATATGATGAAAGCTTTTGATAGAGTAGAATGGAAATTTCTTGCTGCCATTTGTAAAAAAAATGGGCTTTTTGTTCTACCTTTGTCTCTTGGATTCTCTCTTGTATCTGTACATCCTCTTTTTCTTTCAACATCAGGGGTCAGCCTCTTGGTTTTTTGAAACCCTCTAGAGGATTGAGGCAAGAAGACCCGTTCTCTCCTTACCTTTTTATCATCCTTTCTGAAGCCCTTTCCAATCTTATTAAACACGCTTCTATTTTATACTCTTTTCAAGGAGTTAAAATCATTACATATCCCCTCCTATTACCCATCTTTTTTTGGCTGATGATTCTATCTTTTTTTGCAAAGCAGATTCATCTCATGCTATTTTATTTCTACTATTCTCAGGCTGTATGGTCTAGACTCAAGCCATCAAGTCAACCTCAGTAATTCCACTATCTTCTTTTCCAAGAACACTTCTGATTCTGTTAAGGATGATATAGTCTCTATTTTGAATGGCATTACTATTGTCAACTCTACTAGATACTTAGGATTGCCTTTAGGTTTAGGTAGATCCAAAAAAGATACCTTTAATTTTTTTGTTAATAAAGGTTATCTTCTTGGAAGAATACTTTCTTAAGTGAAGCATGCAAAGCTGTTTTGTTAAATTCTGTTATTGAAGCTTTACCCACTTTTGTTATGTCTTGCTTCAAATTACCCTTTGCAGTCTGTAAAGATATTTGTAGGCTTTGTGCTTCCTTTTGGTGGGGCTCTCCAGAAAGTGGAAAGAATAAGATTCATTGGGCATCATGGCAGAAGTTGGCTCTTCCAAAAGCAGATGGTGGATTGGGATCTAAATGACCGGTTTCCTTTAATGAAGCCCTTCTCATCAAATAGCTATGGAGACTTCTCTCTCAGCTTCAACTGCTCATGTGCAAAATTCTTAAAGGTAAATATTATCCTCACACTTCTCTTTGGGAAGCATCTCACAAGACCTCTGTCTCTTGGTTGTGTAGCTCATGGCTCAAAGTTAGAGCCCACTTGAAAAATAAGGCTATCATGGTGATTGGTAGTGGCAGAAATACTTCAATTTGGTCAGACCCATGGATCCCAAGAATTGTAAACTTCACTCCTGCTAAAGCTTTCACATCAGACTCTCAAAGACTTAAGAAGGCCAGTGATTTGTTTACAAACTCTAGAGATACTTGAAATATTGACCTTGTTAAGCAATCCTTTAATCCTGAAGAAGCCAGTAAAATCTTAAATATCCCTCTTGACAAAATAGGACACTGTGACATGTTGAAATGGCTGCCTAACAACCAGGGCAAATTCTCTGTTAAATCTGCCTATTCTGAAATTCTCAAAACTAAAATGGTTACTTTGAAACAACCGGAAACTAGCAACAAGGGGATGATTGAGAAAAAAATCTAGAAAACAACCTGGTCCCTCAAAATTAAATAGAAAATTAAAAATTTTATTTGGAGATGCTGGTTTAAATTCATCAGTACTCAAGACCAGCTGCAAAAGAAAGGCATTCAGGTTGACACTATTTGTTGCATATGTGATGATTTTGAGGAATCTCTGGAGCATTTATTTTTTCATTGTGCAAGATCTGTTAATGTGTGGAAACATGCTGGGCTGGATTGGTATTGTCTGCACAGCAATACTGATTCTTTTAAATCCTGGTGGACAGCTATCTGTACCATGCAAAGGGTGAAAAACTTTCAAGATAGAATTCACTTTTCATCATACATCCTTTGGTGGATATGGAAAACTCGTAATGCTTGGTTATTCAACAAAGTTTGGACAATTTGATATTGAAAGAGGGGCATGGCTTAAATAGAGTGAATTTGATGAAGCATCCAACTCAACTCCTTAAGAGCCTTGTGTTCTTGTTTTGACTTCTTTTGATTTATTTTGGAGATGCTTTGGTTGGAGACGGCTAGGAATTTTCATTCAGTTGTCGCCTCTATCCTCTAGCATTTTTCCAGATTGCTTAGCTTCTTTGAGTTCGGTATTTCAGAGTGCCTTGCTTAGTGGTTGAAGTTCCAGGTCATTGCTTTTGATCCCTTTTTCTTCTTTTTTATTTTGTATAGTTCCCTGCTCTGGCTTTTGAGTTCTCTGTTGTATATATTTGCTCTTCTGGTTAGTTGATAGATTCTTGTATATTCCTGTAGATTATTGGCTTGTTGGTCTTGTAACTTGGCTATGTCTGGTAGCAAAGGCACGTGCCTTTCGGTGCGTCCATTGGGTACAAACTTTGTTTGAGTTAAAATATATGTTATTTACCGTTTGGNAAAAAAAAAAAAAAAAAACCAACAAACTTTATTTGAACTCAAAATGACTTTTATTCGTGAACATTGATAACTTTATTTAAATATAAACATTTAAACTATTTATGAATCGGATCACAGGTTGGATTGACCCGGCTGGTGGCCGATCGAGTTGAAAAACTTCCGGTCGTACAATCATTAATATTCACGCTTAGGTGACTTTTCTTTTGAAGTCAGTCAAACAATCACATTTAGGGGCGGAGCCACCCATAGGCTAGGGTGGGTTCCAGCCCCAGGTAAAGAAAAAAAAAAATAATTTACATTTTATATTATTATTGTTATATAGCCCTATATACATTTCTAGTTTAGCCCTTGAATTAGCCCAACAAGACAACAACAAAGCCCAAAAAATTAAAATTCAATGTTGGGCTTGCTAAAACTGGTAGAAGTACAACTCTCACTCTTCTCGCACACTTTAACACGATTCTCAATCTCACACAAAATAGACGACGACTCCTTAATCGGTTTCTCTCAAGCTCTGCGAGACTGCAAGAGTGAACGACGCATTTTCCATCCGGCGATTGCGAAAAACGGGGAAGCTAGACCTTCGGGCTTCGAGGATTGAGCAGCGGGCGACAATCGGCAAGTCCGCGGGGCCGAGAGTAACTTCGAGCCCGAGGTAACGACGGCTGAGCCTGAATTGATTAATTTTAGTTTATTGAGTATGATTTGAAATGTGGTGTCATGTGTGAATTTTGTGAATTAAACTGTGGTGAGTCTGGTGACATAATTTGTTCAATTGTTTGATTTGTTTCTGTTTGTATATTATCTTTATTCTCTAATTTGTGTAGGTTAATTTAATTTTGGTAATTTTGGTTTCTCTCTTTGTTTTGTCATATGTAACTGAATCTTGAAAGCTTAATTGTTTTTCTCCCAGTGGCCTATGGCTATGCCTTTATTTGTTTTGTTACAAGTTTTGAAAATTTATGTTGAAGTTGAGATCAATAAAATAACATGTTTTTAGCTTAATTATATGTGTTAATGCTTGTTGATCGTGTACTCGATGCTTTAAAAGGTGTGGATGCTTGTTTGGCCTTCATAATAAGAAGATTGTGTATAAAACCACACAAATCGTTCTTGATTACCTTTTCTTATTTTTTTTTTTTTTTGTATTTTTTAGTTTGTTTATATCATCCAAATGCTTGATTAATTTATTTCTTTTTGTTAACTTGATAGGTTTCAATCATAATAGAAGGTCAAGGTACGAAGAAAAGAAAGACTATCAATTCGTTCTTTAAGCCAAAAGAGCATACGTCGACAAGCGGAGATCGTCTTCTAATGATGATGTTGTCGCCTCTATTGATATGAGTTCTTTTGAACGTGACCTAGCACTACGTACTCCAATATGGAAATATCCCGTTTGATGAAATAAGACGAGCGTATTCAATGGTTACGACAACTATTTTGACTCTCTTTGTTTACAACAACTACAAAACGAGCGTTTTCAGCTATGAAACTTGTCAATACAGTTCTTCGTAATAAGATGGAAGAGGAGTTTTTGGCGAATTCAATGGTTATTTACATTGAAAGGGAGTTGGTCGAAAAGATTAGTAATGATACTGTAATCGCCGAGTTTGAAATCTAAAAAGAACCGGAGATCGTTGTTTCATTAGCCCAGCCCCAGATACTTTAAAATCCTATATCCGCCCCTGATCACATTCTTGCATAAGACAAAAGACAAGTTAATTAACAATTAACATCACCGTTAATTAAGTACTAGTACAAATCCCGTGCGATGCACGGGTAATAAATATTCATTTTTTTTATACATTAAAAATTTTCATTAAATAATATTATAAATAAAAAACATAAAATTAATATGTAATATAATGTACCTATATTAATTTATTAAAAATATTATATAAAATTTAAATGGTGTAAAATTACATAAAAAATTCTATTTAAAATTAGTACACAACTCGCGCATTGTGTATAGGCATTCTTGTTTATAAAATAGTTTTAATTTTAGAGTTCCTATTTTTAATTAAGTATAATATAAATAGTTCTTGTTTATATGGGTTCTAGTTTGCAAGTTTGTTTTTTTAAGTTGGGCGCATATATTTTATTTGATATGTAAAATAGGAAATAAGTACATATTCCATTGTAAGTAAAAATTGGAAATAATAAATAGGAGCAATAAATTAGAAAAACTGATTCCGTAAAAGATTAAAAGTAAATCTATTAAATTTAACATGTTTGTAAAAGTAGGAAAGAATAACAAATCTATACTTATATTAAAAGGTATATCATTTACCAGATTTAGTATAAAGAAAAGTCAACAACATTTATTGCATTAATATTTCCGTATTATACAATCTATACTTATATAAAAGAAGATTCTATTTATTACATTTACTATCCAGAAAAGTCAACTGCATTAAATGCCATTACTATTTTGGTATTATAATATTTTATTTATTTAATTGATTTCTTTATTTGTTTTATTTTAAAAAAGTAAGTATAATAAAAAGATTATAATAATAAAAAAATCAAATACCAATTAAAAATGTACACTTTGACTTATTTGATTATATTTGGTATTTGATTATACCCAATATATTCCTATTTAGTATATACATTAAATACTTACTAAAGTATTTATTTGTTTTATTTGTCAAAGTTAAGTATAGATTTGTTTATATTATCAAATCATAAAAAAATTTTAAATCCATATTGTAAAAAAAAAAATCATATAATTTTATAACAATTCTATTACACTATTTAACAATATTTCTTTTTTATTATATAATAAAATAATAATTAAATATTATATGGTGAACAACAATAAGTAAAACTATTACTTTCTCTTATATCAAGGGATAAATTTATATTAATATAAATATTTTAGTGAGATAATATATTAATTATTTTACAAGCTAGCCCTAACATGCTCATATTTAGTGTTTTAAAAGATGTAGAAAAAAACTTATAATAACTCTATTGTTTTTTAGACTTAAAGGTTGATTAAATGAGGTAAAACTTCCTAATTTTTTAGACTTAAACGTTGATTAACACCATAGATGAGTTTATATTTAGTAAAATTCCTAATTATAATAAAAAAATTAATTTTTTTTATATTTTAGAATATCTTTAAATTCATTATAAAAAGAAAAAGAAAAAAAACTACAATGAAAAAAACAAGTCAACTATATATCGATTTGTTGTACTCCTCAAATCACATTCACAATTTGGCTGAAACTCATTGATTAAAATATTATTTTGTCAGTAGTTATAAGAGACTTTAAGACTCCACTTGAATATTATAAAACTTTTATTGAACATTGTACAATTTTCTTACATATTATAAACTTTTATTGAATATTGCATCTTATAATATAATATTCTCCAAATAAATATATCTCGTGCTTCGCACTGGTCACGTACTATATATATCCCGTATATTTTTCTTATTCATGTATATAATTATAAGCCTGGATAAATAGCCTTAAAATTGTGCACCACGTACATCGCACGGATTCTGTACTAGTAATTAAAACAATCCTTAAGATAATGACATACTTTTGTTAAAGTAATTACTGAACTTCTTAAATTGGAATGTCAAAAAGCTTTTACGGGAATTTTTTTTTCAAAAAAGAATAAATACAACAATATAGATTCACATGATTTGAGTAATTAAGGTATTTCAAAATTAAAAAATTTTATAGCTTAATTATTCCTTAAATAATGAACCGCAATTTCCATAAGTGATTATTTGAAATATACCATAAATTATAAAATTAATTACCCAAAATAGCAAAAAGATTTTTTTTAGAGGGCAATAATTACTATTTAAAAAATAATCAAACCTTTTTATATATATATAAATTACATAAGAGAAATATACAAAATGAGCTGGACATGCATCATCTTATACACTATCCGACAAAGGGTATCTTAAAACAAAAACAAAGCCCCCCACTTGGTGTATCATTCATTATATCACACATCTAATCTAATAATAATAATAATAATAATCATTAAACTTAATAACCACGCTCGATATTTTTGTTAATTAGTTGAAGAAAGCACCAGCTTGACTAAGGTTTAGTACTTAATGGTGATCCATCAATTGATTAATTAGACGCTGATAGTACGATAAGGGGATCCGATAATTTGGGTCCGGGCCAACCCGAGTAGCTTCCTCTCTTTGATTGCCGGATCTTCTAACATCAGGACTTTCTCCTTATCTCTAACACCCACCATATGCAAGTGTTCTTCATCTTCCCTTTCTTTGCCTTTGAACAATAGCCTTTGCTCTTTGGGCTCCAACTTTGTCAATACTGACAACAGGATCTTCAATTCCCCTACAATAGTTTACAAATTACAAAATGAAACAAATAATAATAAATTTTGTTTTGACGAAACTCGCAAGAAAAATTAATGATTATTCAAAGCATAGACGAACACATGGTTTAAGAAAAATAAAAGAAAAAGGTCCCCTTATCGCTGTCTTGGGATATATAAAATAATTGCTAAACAGAGTAATTTCCAGTCCTATAAAGGGATGTATGTAAGTAATAATTTTCAAGCATATTCAAATTACAGTTGTCTGGTTATTTTATATGGGAAGACTGAAATATGGGCCACATTAAAATAAAACTCTAAAAAAAAAAAAAATATGAGAGTTTAATTACCAAATGTTGAAGTAGCTGGGAGTGAGATGTCATGCGAGTGGGACACCGTTGAGACCCTAATTGTGATGATAATTTCATCCGATTTTTGTTTAATTTCTCTTTTCTGGACAAGCATGCCGCCGGGCCTTAGCTCCCACTTTATCTCACCGCCAGTATTGCCGGTGGTGCCTCCGCCAGTACCGCCGCCTAGCTTCGAGCTGCTTCTTGAGAATCTCTTTGACCTCAGCTTTATCATATTTATTTTTCTCTGCTTTTGTTGCCTCCTTTTTGCTCTCTACTTGTACAAATTCTCTTTTAAGTGGTATTGTTAAAGAGAGGCGTGAATTTGGCGGTTATATATAGCTAGCTGGTTGGAGATATTATGCTCACAAATAAAATAATATGTTACATCGAAAAATACAAAGCCGAATTGGGTTGGGTTGGGCGACTCTATCTTTTACTAAGTTTAGTTGAAATTTGTGATAAAATAGAAATCATTGATTTGGAGAGGCATGAGATTGTGAGAAGTTCAATTTGTGCTGATTTGTTGGGGATAAAGGCACATGGGGAGGCCGAGGGGTGGTTAGTTCACACGTTTTTCCTCAATTAACGGGCCTGTTTAACTTTAAATAGTCCTACAGTCGGTTGATAAATTGTTTATTTTAGGGTCAGACAACTTTTGATTGAGCTTAATATAATACATCGGGTTTGAGCCCATTTTATGGGTGAGATTATTCATCACTTAAAGTTGTTTGATTGCACTTTTAGTCAGCTAGATACAAGTCCAATAAAATTAATAAGTTTCTTGGTCCCCTTATATCTCTTGAAAGATATCTCTATCTCGTCTTCGGTCTTGCCCTTTTTCCCATTTTACACCACAGTGACAAAAAATCTGAGGCGGTCCAGGGAAATATATGAACGAAGAAAATGATTCTGACTGTGCGAATAAAACTTCAATTATAGATAATCAACTTTTTGGCAAAGGAACCCTCAATTACAGACGAATGAGACGATTCCTGGTCACAGATCTCAGAAGCGGGGCTTCATCAGAAAATCATCTGGTAAGCTTATTTAGGTTTTAATCTAGTTACATTCTTGCCAGATTATAATTCAATTTTTGCGAATAAGTTATGGTTGCAATCCTTTAATTTGTTCACTGAGTTCAATTATTCGGGTTTGGGGTTTAAATTTGTTGCTCTGTTGGGTTCGTTGTTGCGGTTTGGACTCGGTTGTCAGTCTGGTTGGTTGTGGAGGTCAAATGTTGGATTTGTGAGAATGTGAAAAAACATCTGATATATTAATCACAAAGGTATGTACATGTATATAAAGACAAAAAGATGGTCTCACTTATATTGGGTGATAATCTAATCTAATCTAACCNGGAGATCAACTTGAGTTTGCTAAGAAGTAAACAAAAGCGACCGGGAAGGAGAGACTTCGTGAAGACATCCGCTGGTTGATCTGTAGAGGAAACAGAAACAAGCTTCACAGTCCCATGTGCAACATGCTGTCGAATGAAGTGACAGTCAATCTCAACATGCTTGGTGCACTCATGAAATGTATCATTATGAGACATCTTTATAGCACTTTGACTATCACAATGTAGAGCAGAAGACGACGACTGAGGTGCACCGAGCAAGTAGTCGACATAACCATAATAGCTCGGAGATGGAATCATCAAGAGCACGGTACTCAGACTCAGCACTCGATCTGAAAACTAAGGTTTGTTTCTTACTACGCCAAGAGACGAGTGAATCACCCAGAAAGAAGCAGTACCCAGTAATGGAACGACAATCAGTAGGATCTCCAGCCCAATCTGCATTAAAATAGCCGCTAAGTGTCAAGGAAGAACGGGCCAAGAAGTGTAAACCATGCAATAGAGTGCCCTTCACATAGCGAAAAATGTGCAACACAACAGAATGATGCGTGGTTCTCGGAGCAACCATAAACTGACTCACAATATGAACAGCATGAGCTATATCAGGCCGAGCTACAGTTAAATATATCAAACTCTCAACAAGCTGACGATATAAGTTATAACGTAGAATCCTCAAGAATAGAGCCATCCAATAGAATAAGACAAACATCATAATCAAGATGTATGGAAGTTGTCTGACAATCAGTGAGACCGGCCCGAGCAAGAAGATCAGAGGCCTACTTGGCTTGAGATCAATAGAAGCCATCAGAGAATTCAGAAATCTCAAGACCTAAAAAAATAGCGAAGCTGGCCCAAACTCTTCATCTCAAAACGCCGACGAAGATAGTCCTGTAAATCGAAAATATCGGTTACATCATCTCTCGTGATGATCATATCGTCAACATAGAGCAGCAAAATAATGATCCCAGGTGAGAAGCGCCAAAGAAACAAAGCAAAATCGTGATCACTCGTAGTGAAACCAAACTGAAACAATGCAGAACTGAATGTGGCATACCAGGCACGAGGTGCTTGTTTCAAACCATACAAAGCTCGACGTAGGCGACAAACCTTCCTAGAGGACAAGGACCCCAGAGGATGAGTTATGTAAACCTCCTCAGATAAGGCACCATGCAAGAAGGCATTTTTCACATCAAACTGTAGAAGAGACCATTGACGGTTTGCTCGGGTGAATCGATTGGTTTGCTTTCTATTTATGGTATCCCATATCAAATGACATATATACATAAATCATATATTAAACTCTTATAAATCATAAATGAAAAGAAAATATAAAAACTAATATTTATAGTCAAAACTATTTTTATGCTAATCAATTATCCTTCTATGCTTTAATTTATACGATTTATCATTATTGCAATATGCATCGCCAGTCGCACGAGTTTAATTTATACGATTTATCATTATTGCAATATGCATCGTCAGTCGCACGAGTTATATATTAATTAATTATAAATACAAATTTTATTATATTGCGTCTATCATAGTTTAAAGAGTTTAAAGTTTGTTTAGATATGAAGTTATCATCATTTGAGGGTCTTTTTTCAATTAGTTTAATTGTTATGCCATATAAGATTCCTGTTTCGATACTTATCACCCAACTCACATTAAGATTCACATTTCACTGCCTTCACCATTTTTTTTCCTATTTGCATCTAAGTATATGTGGTATCATGTGTCTATATACACACAAAGCAAGCAAAATCTTGTAACAGGAAATCTATCTAATGAAAATGAGTAATGTTATTTAGTCTACTTGGATGACAACTTGAGTTACAACCCAAGTGTAAATGCATTATCAAAAAAAAAAAAAAAAAACAAAAAAAAAAAAAAAAAAAAAAAAAAAATAATGCATTTACACTTGAGTTGTAACCCAAGTTGTCATCCAAGTGGGCTTTATAGCATTACTCAATGAAAATATTTGAAATTCAAGCATATCATCAATTATGAGCTTAGCAATCCCGGCGCTGCGAAACGAAACAACATATACCATGATGTCCAACGCTACACATAAAGGTTATCATAAGCCTTCGTAACTTCATGCATCAAAAGGAGGATGAAGCTACGAATTTAGAAATATATAAAAAAATTGAAGTGTTGAAGATGTGTAACAAAGAAAAGCGACAATCGCCCCTCTAATACTACATGATGAAGTTTAAGCTATGGAGATCTCACCAATGAGTAGTTGTAGAAAATAGCAAAGTAGAAACTGAAAATGACAACAAGACTCAGATCCTATTCCGTCTTTTTGGAGTCCTTGAGCATTCCTCTCTTCCTAATGCCAAGGCAGAATTTGAGACGCCAGGCATCGATAATCGAGTCGGGCAAAGAATTTGCTAGGGTCCACAAAAGCGAGTGGGGCCAATATGGTGTGCACCGTGGCTCGTAACCTATCCAACGTAACGCGGCTCGCGCATAGCCATCAGCGGATGGGACAAAGAAGGATGACCTTCTAATTGATGCCATTTTTGTTGCAACATACAAAGGCACCTACAGATGACCGACCAACATTCACAACTTAAAATTATAGTGTTAAGTACAAAATTATACCTCAAGGTTCAATCTAACTACATTTGCACGGTGGAATGTATATATGAAATGAAGGCTGTAGATTATGTACAGAGCAAGCTGCGAAGCACCTTTGATTTATGGTTCTCCATTAATTTACCTTTAACTTACTCACATCTAGCTTAAAACATTAGACATTGATTTTTTGCAAGTTATATTCTTTTGGAAAAAACAAAACATTTAGTCCAGGCTCAACCAATCAGTAGTCCAAAAGGATAAAATAGGGTATCTTGGGAACCTAAATAAGAGGTTTTCATTCACTTTTGCACCTATACTTGCAAGAGTTTTTACAAAGTTGTTTATTTTCACACAGATTTTTCCTTCTACACGTATAATGCCACCTTGCAGGTAACAAATGTATCGTACACTGAAATTAATATCAAATATATCACAGTTTGTGCACCATTACTTGTATGAATGGACTAATAACAGGAAATACCATGTAAAACCTTATATTACCCAAAATGAGCACTAGCAGGAGATGAAAAGAAGATAAACGATTCATGGATCATCAAGATGAAAGTGGAATTTGTTTCGTATCAAGGAAAGGGGAAACACTGCGGCTTGTAACATGAACTCATCTAAAAAAGCAAATTTTTTACCTGGCATTGCACGTCAATCCCACTCTTCTTGTACTCCACATAGAGGCATCTCGAAAACTGGTCAATATAACTGAAAGGAACACGCACAACAATATTTAGTACCCTTTTTCGACTAAAGTTAATCACAACCATGAAGAGAATCTAAGACAAATGAATCTTAGAGCAGAGAAAGAGGGAGTGAGAGAGAGAGAGAGGAGAGAAGAGAAAAAAAATATCAGCTTTGGTCAATATTTCTTCAATCCATTGAAGACTCCATCAAAATTAATGGTAATATACCAATTGCAAATCACAAGTGAAACTTCTATCAATCAAATACTACAAATCCCCCTCAACATCTATCCAAGCTCAAGAACATCTAAAAATGATTAATCCAACCGGTAAACATAAATTTCCAACGGAAGCACCAATGACAACTACTATAACATTCCTTAAGCATTTTTTAGCAACATTAGATTAAGCATCAAGCAAATAAAGAAAGTAGCTCAAGAAACAAACTAGGAGTGCACTGTTTCATTCCATTCCCATAAACTTTAAACTGACGCTTACGTTTGATTACTTTTAAAGCTCCACACAATAAACTAAAACAGAAACTTACCCGAAAAAATAAAATATCAATACAGTCGAAATTAATCCCAGATACAACTACAAGCTCAAGATAACTGAAGCACTTAATCCACAAGTTCAAGATTGCATATCTAAATAAACAGAAGCTCGATATAAAGTGTAATATGAAAATGAATTACAGAGAGAGAGAGACTTACGCTTTTGTTGCAGCGTAAACAGAGTAGAGCGGATCAGCAGGGATAATAATAGCAGCACCTGACCCAATATTCACAATAGCCCCTCTTTTTCTCTCCACCATCCCAGGCAAAACAGCTTGGGTGACTTTCGTTGTCCCCTCAATATTTACCTTAATCAAATCACTCAGCAATTTATCATCCAATTCATGAAAGAACCTCGCATAAGGATAAGACACCCCCACGTTGTTGATCAAAACTCCGACGTCCACTCCCTGAATAGCCTCCTTGATCCTCGAAACGCCATCGTTCAGGTCCCCGGAGAAATCCACAACCACGGACTTGATCTGGACGGACCCGTACTTGGATTTGATGGATCCGGAAACTTCCTCCAGCTTACTGGGGTTTCGCCCGACTAAAATCAAATTGAGCCCCTTTCTCGCTAGCTGGAAAGCGAATGCCTTGCCTATGCCGTCCGTGGGGCCCGTTACCAGAGCCCACGACCCGTATTTCTTGAGGTTTTTACCGGGTCGGAGAAAATTGACGTAGACCCATATGAAAATGGAAAGTGTGAGCTTGAGGAGGGATAGGAGGCCCAGGGATATGGGAATGATAAGCCATAGCGGTTGAGATTTGAGCTGTTCGAAGATGCAATCCGCCATGGACAAGAGAAGGTAGAGAAGTCTGTGTGTAATGCGGTACTGGAAATGGCGATTGAATTATATAGTGAAAGAATAAGGACTAAATTTAATCAATCAATTATATTTTTTAAATACACTCTTAAAACTCTTCTCAAATAATAAGTGTTTACTTTCCGAAGGACCGAAACTTTACTTTTAATTTGAAGTACTTTATACACATCTAGATTTTTGTCATACTTATTAAGAGTTTTAAAATTATATACCTCAATTTAAATTATAAAAAAAATACTATTTTTAATTTATTATCATATTTTCATAATAGTTATTAAAAGGAAGCATCATGCTCATAATGATAGTGGGTGGCTAGACGAGAGTAGTTGGGCAGCATTTAAATTGAAGATGGAGCATTTATCGAGTTTCATGCATTTAAGTTTATTTTAAAGTTTAAACTAATACCATCAAGTCATATCTATATATATATAATTGCTAGCTAATCTCATTTAATAAAACATTTAATAAAAATATTTTCACTTTCCCTCCAAAAGAGTTATATTTTTTTTAATTAATTACTCATTAATCTCACATTTAAGAAGGTTTTTTATAGTTAAATTTAATTAGTTAATGACTAAATTAAAAAGATTTATTTTAATTAATCTCACATTTATGTTAAGTATAATATTATCTTAATATCTTATCAGTTTTTCAAAAAAATAGTAACTTTTTTCAATAAATTTTATAAAAATTAGTCAAATGTGCTTATATTCATATAAATTAGAAAAAAATTAAATCTTAGATGTATAAAAAGAACATCGTTGAAATAACTTGAATCCGCAAGGGTAATTCTATACTCATTATCAATTACTTTAAAAATTTTGTTTATATAAAAAATTAATATTATATTTACACCTTTATATTTTGATGGTATTTTTTTATTAAGAAGCAAGGACAATCTCTATCAATCAATAAGAGTCGAGGACAAACAATATAAAGAAGTGTTTCCTATGCTATGACATGATCAATAAAAGTCAAAAACAGTCTATGTCGCGCGTCGCTTACTACTGAAGAGCTCTGCATTTAGTCATGAGCAATTATACGTGAAGCTTTTTAGAGTTACGAGTCAGTGGGGTTTGAAAAGTTTGATTTGAGCTGAGGGAGATTTTGACGATAGAAAAACACGACGTTGTTTTATAAAGAAGTGTTTAAGAATATTTATATTTTTTTTTCTTAATTTTTTTCAATGAATTTGTTATGATTTTTACTATTGTTTATAATTTTTATTATTTTTTCATGTATCATATAGTTTTCCGTGCAAATGCACGGGACAAAAACTAGTTTACTCTAATTGGTGGTTTATAAAGTCTTTTTTATTTTATATTTATTTATGCATTATATAAAAAATTATAATTCTAAGAAAAATACTAAAAATAATTGAAAAATATTCAAAATAAAGTATAGTTGGTTGAGTTTTGGTGAAAAAGTTGGTTGAACTAGCCAAGGGTGAAATTCGGGAGCTGAGCTGTTTTTTTCCATTGGGTGACCAAATATTTGTGACAATTTATTGCAAGAACTCTGACGGATTCAAAAATAAAATAAAATAAATAAAAAAAAAAGTAAAAACCAGAAATAAAACTCTCACGGATTCTAATTGCCTGCCACGTCACACACGCAGTCATAGCCTTCACGGCACCTTCATTAACTACAGCGCTTTCCCCAAACTACCCTTCATTAATCCACTCCACCGCCTCCCAAATCAATACATTCAACCCAAACCTATTCTCGTCATTCTCTATTGTCTAACTAATCCAAAAGGCTGTGAGCAATACACACGCCCACATTACCTTTTTTCCTCACGATAAGGAAACAAAAAAGACAATTCATTATTTTCTCTTTTCAGATCAATGGCAACTGGTTTGGTCCGACGAGCGATATCTAGGGTTCCGGCCGTATCTCCGGCCGCTAGGGCCATCATCTGCCGCGCCCATGCGTCGGAGGCCCAGGCCCAGCAGGTCGAGCCCAAGGCAAAGCCCTCCTCCACCCCCAAGACCTTCCAAATCTACCGATGGAACCCCGATTCGCCGCAGAAGCCCGAGCTCCAGAACTACGAAATCGACCTCAAGGACTGCGGCCCCATGGTCCTCGACGCCCTGATCAAGATTAAGAACGAGATCGACCCGACCCTGACCTTCCGCCGATCGTGCCGCGAGGGGATCTGCGGCTCCTGCGCGATGAACATCGACGGGCGAAATGGATTGGCCTGCCTGACGAAGATACCCTCGGGCGGAGCCACGATGATCACCCCTCTGCCGCACATGTTCGTGATTAAGGATCTGGTGGTGGACATGACGAATTTTTACAACCAGTACAAGTCGATCGAGCCCTGGCTGAAGAGGAAAAATCCTCCGGAGAATCCGGGGAAGGAGGTTCTGCAGAGCAAGGAGGATAGGAAGAAGTTGGATGGGATGTACGAGTGCATCCTGTGCGCCTGCTGCAGCACCTCCTGCCCCAGTTACTGGTGGAACCCGGAGTCTTATTTGGGTCCCGCTGCTCTCTTGCACGCCAATAGGTAAATTTCTTCTCTCTTTCTCGTGTTCTTTCTGGATTTTGTGTGTTGTTGAGATTTGTGGGATGTGGTTCGAGTGGGTAAATCTGAATTTTGGCTAAATTTCTTGAACATTATTATTTTTTATAATACCAGAGCCCATTACCTCTTATTGTTCTCTGTCAGTTTGGTGTTTAATATTAAGAATAATACCATATTCACTCTAAAGAAAGAGGAGGATTAAGTTAAAATGAGGGTTGGAGTTGGACTGTCACACATCTTACTGTATAATATGTGCTATTGTGAATGATAAAGAACGACCATGCCATTGTGATCTTCATTTTGCGAGACTTGTTTGGATCACTCGGATTAGCTTGCTTCTCTTTTGTTCTTCTATTCCTCACTGCCTTGAGATTGATTCTTTTCATATGCATATGACTGCATAAATTGGTTGGCACTGTAATTCATATTTCTGATATGTATCTTCTAGGCACTGTAATTCATATTTATGATATGTATCTTCTAGTTTCTTGATCTCGACTTCTGGAAATGGTTTTTCTAAAGCTATTTCCAGTCTACTGCTTGTTTTGTGAGCCTGTGCTTGTCACTAGTATAAAAGATAGCTTTAATATTTTTATGGGGCATCAGGAACTTGTCAGATATGTATTTTCAGTGATGTTGGATAAATATGGTATCTAGGATTCATTTAAATTTGTACCTTCTAATTCTATAAGCATGATGGTCGTTACTCTCCATTGTCCTTCTTAAGATAGTTATAGAGTAGATACCTCGATATGCAATTTCAAATAACCGAAACTACCCCTGAGCCATTTTTCCATATACTGGGAGGTTGGAATTGTTTCCGTTGGCTCTTGAAATTAGTAGTGTTAACATATCCTTGTGCGGATCTTGAATATTTTTCCATATACTTTACTTATCCTTGTGTGGATCTTGAATATTTTTTGATTTGTAATCCTTCGTTTGTACTTGCAGTTAATATGACAATGTGCTTGTGCATAAAATTTTGTTCGCTTGAATAACGTCATCTTGCAAATGGTTATACGACAAACATGAATGTTTGATTCCCTTTTGCTGACTAATAAATTTTACTTTAGCTTCCTTGAAAACTTTACATATATGTCCTCTTATCAGTTATTCTGGTTAGTGTTGAGGAATTTAACTACTAATTATAGCCAGATTGATCAAACATCCTGATCTTGATTAACTAGACAACATAGAGAAATGTATTATGTATCTATGTATATACATTCATGCTAAACATGGTATTGACTCTTTAATGCAGATGGATAATGGACAGTCGTGATGAGTACACAAAGGAGCGTCTTGAGGCTATAGATGACGAGTTTAAGCTGTATCGTTGCCATACCATTTTGAATTGTGCTAAAGCATGCCCTAAGGGTCTGAACCCAGGAAAACAAATTCAGAATATCAAGAAACTCGAGCTCACAAGTTAGACTTTGATGACCTGATTGTGCAATGGTTTTCTGCACAGGAATTTTTTTCAAGGCTTTTACATGATTTTATGGCAATAATTTAAGCAGTGATTATGTGTTTTATGCGTAATCCTCTCACATTTGTACCTTTCGAAAGGTCGAATTTTTAAAATATTACATTATTATTTCAGTTTTCTTGTTGTGTGCTTGCCTAATCTGGATCAAGTAGATGAGGAATCTGATAATTATTACCTTTCTGTTAGTTTGATTGAAACATAGTGTTGGGAGATTAGACATTGTTTGATTGAGCAGACGTGAATCTTCATTTGCTTGTGGTTTTATGTTTGGTTGCTAATTGCTATGAAGATTATCAGCCTGTCTACTGTCTAGTGTTGGTTGAACGGAGATTAACTGGTCTCTGATTCCATCCCTTGTGTCTGTGTAGTGCGCATGAGACTCATTTTTCTTTTCACGATGGACTCGATCTTTGCAGAACATGGGATATGCTCGGCTTGCCATGTCCAGTTGGTTCAGTCAAGCGTACCAACTATTGGCCAGGACATCATACATTTGAGATGAAAGCCACATTTCAGGTGAAACCAGCTAAATACATTCGGGATGAAACCAGACAGATGTGAAAGAAAAATTAAGCGGTAAATATGGAACATAATTAGGATGATGGCATAAAAATATGAAACTGTTTAAGTATGTTAACGGGTGGACATTAAAAATATGAATTGCCAGAAAACTTGAATATTGAAGCGAGTTGCTTCAGTTGATCTAATTCACGTTTACAACATAAAGAGCATCAGCAACTCGGATGTGATTGGTTTCGCACATATTGAGACATCAAATGCAAAAGGATTGGTTTCGCACATATTGCAACATATCAAACTTGTGATGACCAGAGATCAAATGCAAAAGGATTGGTTTCCCACATATTGCGACATATCAAACTTGTGATGACCATTGGTTTCGCGCATATTGAAACATATCAAATGCAAAAGGATAAAGGAAAAAAAGAAAAAAAAAATCCATCAAGAAAAATCACATCATGTACTTTGTCTTAATCAAATATGATCCTAAATGATGATGATTTATGGTGATAACGGGTTTCATATCTTAGCATTGGATTATTTCTTTTTCATGAATTTTACCGATGGTTTGTTTTATTTATTTATTTTTTTTTTTGGAATGACAAAAATTTTATAAATAGAAAACAAATATACTAACTAAAAACAACTGTACCAGCCGAATTTAGCAGCAACATAATTGGATATATTGGGAGGACAATAAAATAATCGCCTGTTTTCATGTTAATCGCACAATAAGATATTTCTTAGGTAGATAAAATTATACATAATCTCAATTTTGATCAATATATGGTTAATTGTGTTTATACAATTAAATAAAATAAATTAGACCAAAACATAGGATACTACTGACAGAGACATCAAAAGGCAGAAAAAGGAAGGACTAGAAGAGAATTCGATCTACAAGGTGGAGGCAGCCAGCCTTAAATGGCTCCCAACTAATAAATGAAGATTGAGGTGTGAAATTGTAGAGGTCTGGGAGGGCCCTCTACAATTCCTCAACTCAAGGAGTTTTGGAGACTCCACCTTCTAAATATTGTTTGTTTATCTGAAACAAAAAAGAAAAAGAGTTTTGTTGCCACAGTGTGTAAAAATCTTAGGTTGGAAGATAGATGGGTGGTAGTGGATTCGGTTGGGAAAAAAGGGGGCTTACTGGTCTTTTGGTCTGAGGAAACAAAAGTGGAGAAGGTAATCTTTAATGACTTTTGTGTGGAAGTTTGTGTACAGGCTGAGAATAACCATGATCTATTTTAGTTTGTTTTTGTATATGTAAATGCGGATGTTGAGATCAGAAAACTTCAATTCGAAGAACTGGAAAGGAAGCAAGGCACTTGGGGGAAGAATTGGATAATTGGAGGAGATTTCAATGATATTGTGGAGAATTATGAGAAGAGAGGAGGAAAGACCAAATCAGATGCTAGTCTCAGCCTGCTCAGGAGCTTCATTCAAAAATTGGGCCTGGTGGACCTGCCTTTTGTTGGCAATCCGTTTACCTGGACAAATAACCGAGAAGGAGAGGACTACATTGAAGAAAGGTTGGATAGGATATTGGTCTCTTCTGACTGGAATCTGAAAAATCAGGATGCCGGGGTGACACATGTTAAGTATATTAAGGCTCAAGCCTTATAGGCCCCTGATGAATCCTATATATATTGTCCTTTCATATCAAAGGAACTTATTACTTCAGAAACCCTAGGTATGTAACATGGTATCACAGCCTTACACATAAAGTTTTTTTTTTTTTTTTCTTCTTCTTTCGATCTCACCTCCCACATCATTGAAATCGCCGCCTCAAGACGAACTTTCCGGCCGAATTTCACAGTCAGAAGCCGCGCGTGTGAGCTACACGTGCCGCCGAAATTTCTGCCGGCAGTCCCACGTGCCGGCGCGTGAGAGCGCGTGGCTGGCCGGAATTTTTTCCGGCGACCTTCTGTGGGATCGGAATTTCGAGGGGGTGCTGCCAGTGCCTTCAGTTTCCTGTTTTGAAGTCGTTTTGGTGTCCGTTTTGGCGTTTTTCAGATCTGCCACTAGTCAAGGTTAGGGTTCGTTTCTTCCGAGCAATCCCGACACTGTCATGTTCCTGATTTGAGCCTTCACTCGTCTGTCTTGTGATTTTACACCGCTCGTTGCAGCCTTGTCTCTCATATTCACCGTTATTTGCATATCGCCCGCCCATTGCGGAGGTATTTTGTCATCTGTCATCGAATCATGATCAACTCAATGCCATTGTTATCAATATCACTCTCGATGGGCAAAATTATCGGGAGTGGGCTTTTTCTATGAAAACAGTGTTGAGGGGTTATGGTCTAGCCTTCCATTTGACCGATGATGGCCCCGAACGAAAAGTTAACAATAGCAATGCTGCTGAAATCAGAACGTGGCAAATTAATGACGGGAAAGTGATGGCTGCCATCGTCAATAGTGTCAAGCAGACCATGATTATGAGTCTTTCCACTTTTCGAACAACTAAGGCGATGTTGTCCTATTTGCAACAACGCTACGTTCAAGATAGTGGTGCACTCTTGCACACACTTATGCAGCAAATTCATGTCATTGAACAGAATGATATGTCCATTGATGAGTACTATTCAGCTTTTGATCGTTTGATGGGACCATTGATCTCCATGGTGCCTCCAAGCATGGAAGAGGAGTGTTCAGCACATAAATTTGTGGAGAAATTTTTTATATGCCGCTTTGTCATGGGGGTTAGAACAGAATTTGAGTCTATTCGTACACGTTTACTTCATAACTTTTCTACTCTAACCATGGCACAAACATTGTCTGAGTTGATTGCTGAAGAGACTCGTCTCCGTTCTATGTCACTTGCTCCGTCGACAATATCTCATGGTGTGTTGGCTGCTTCTCATCGGGCATCCTCCCAACGGGTTAATGCACCAAAAGGTGGTTCTTCAGACTCTTGTCAGCATTGTGGGAAAACAGGTCATCTTGCAGAAATTTGTTTTGCTCAGCATCCAGAAAAATTGGCTGAGTACCGTGCACGTCGTGCTGCTCGAACTCGTGGTACGACTCCTGTTACTAAAGGGTCTGCATCCGTTGCTGCTACCTCTCCTGTCAATGCTCCTCAATCTTGGGTTCTCGATTCAGGGGCATCATTCCATGTGACTTATGATCAGTCCCAATTGGTTGCATGCAAATCGGTCACTGATGGTACTTCTATTCAGACAGCTGATGGCACATCTTGTCATATTACTCATCATGGTTCTCTATGCAATTCACGTTTTTCAGTACCTAATATCTCTTATGTTCCTAAGTTATCCATGAACCTTCTTTCAGTTGGTCAAGTCACTGATCAAAATTGTTTTGTTGGATTTGATGACTCATCTTAATTTATTCAGGATCGTCGACGCGGGACTGTGATTGGGACTGGCCATCGCCGTAGAGGTTCTTTGAGTCTTTACATCTTAGACACTTTGCATCTTCCCTCTCCACCTGGTTCTACCGCTCGTGTGTCATCCATTGCCTCATCTTCCATCTCATCCTTCGCCAAATGGCATCATCGTCTTGGTCATTTGAGTGGGTCCCATTTGTCTACTTTGATTAGTAGTGGTTGTTTAGGTCGTATTTCTATTGAGTCTAATTTTCATTGTAAGGGTTGTAAACTCGGGAAACAGTTGCAACTCCGATATTCTACTAGTATTTCTCATTCCCTTAGGCCTTTTGATCTTATTCACTCTGATGTATGGGGTCCATCCCCTTTTCCTACAAAAAGTGGCAATAAATATTATGTTCTTTTTATTGATGATCATTCTCGATATACTTGGATATATTTTATGAAACATCGTTCTCAGTTGTATTCCATTTATAAGGATTTTGTTCGCATGGTTCATACTCAGTTTTCTACTCCTATTCGAGTTTTTCGTTCTGATTCTGGTGGTGAGTATTTATCCAGCTGATGGAGAACCAACCCCTAAAAGGGGAGTGATCTGACAATTTTCGTCAGTTTTTGACCTCTGAGGGTACTCTTGCCCAACTCTCCTGTCCTGGTGCACATGCTCAGAATGGTGTTGCAGAGAGAAAACACTGACATCTTATTGAGACTGCTCGAACACTTCTCATTGCCTCTTTTGTCCCTTCTCATTTTTTGGGAGAAGCTGTGCCAACAGCTGTTTATCTTATTAACCGACAGCCGTCATCCAAACTGTCTGGTAAGTGTCCTGGTGAGGTTCTTTTTGATCGTCCCCCTAACTATGATCATCTTCGGGTTTTTGGATGTACATGTTATGTGTTACTTGCTTCCCCTGAGCGCACTAAACTAACTCCTCAGTCTGTTGAGTGCGTCTTTTGGGGGTATAGTCCTGAGCATAAGGGTTATCGTTGTTATGATTCTTCTTCTCGTCGCATGCGTATATCTCGTGATGTAACCTTTGTCGAGGATCGTCCTTTCTTTTATAACCCTTCCACACATCTCACATCTTCTTCTATAGAGTCTACGTCCTTCTTATGTCTTCCTCCTATTTCTTTTCCTGATGATGTCCCCATCTCTCATGATGAGTCTCCACCACCCGTTCCTGATGAGCCTTCCTCATATAGACCACCTATCACACAGGTTTATACTCGTCGTCCACTAGGTCATACAACGCTTCCGCTTAATTCTCCTGTCTCGGCCAGTCCTGACACTCCCGTCCTAGACGACACTGTTGATCCTGATGTGTCACACGGTATTCATGGAGAGTCTATGGTTCGTCAGAGATATAATTTACGTGATCGTGCTACTATTGAGCCTCCTGACCGGTTGGGTTTTCCACGTGCGAGTGCTATTGTTGATGAACCATCCACTTATCTTGAAGCTTCGCGTATTCCAGAATGGCAACTTGCTATGTCCGAGGAACTTGCTGCACTTGATCGTACCGGCACTTTGGATTTTTTTTCCGTTACCGTCACATGCTGTACCTATCACGTGTAAGTGGGTCTTTAAGATTAAGACGAAGTCGGATGGTTCCATTGAGAGATATAAAGCTCGTCTTGTTGCTAGAGGTTTTCAGCAGACTCAAGGACGAGACTATGATGAGACTTTTGCTCCTGTTGCTCACATGACCATTGTCCGTACTCTGATTGCGGTGACTGCTACTCGTTCTTGGACCATATCTCAGATGGATGTGAAGAATGCCTTTCTTCATGGTGATCTGCATGAGGAAGTTTATATGCAGCCACCAGCGGGTGTTAATGCCCCCTCCGGACACGTTTGTCTTCTTCGTCGCGCCTTATATGTTCTCAAACAGGCTCCACGTGCTTGGTTTGAGCGCTTTGTTTCTGTCATACGGGCTGCTGGGTATTCCCCTAGTGATCATGACCCCGTTTTGTTTATTCATCTCTCTCCACGTGGACGAACTCTACTTGTTTTATATGTTGATGATATGTTGATTACGGGAAATGATGCAGAACATATTTCTCATGTCAAGAAACAACTTGGTCAGCAATTTCAGATGTAGATTTGGGTCCTCTTAGCTACTTCTTGGGCATTGAGGTGATGCAGTCTGACTCGGGCTATTACCTTTCTCAGGCGAAATACGTACAAGATCTTCTTGTTCGTTCTGGTATTACTGATAATCGGACAACGGCTACACCTATGGATCTTCACTTGCAGCTTCGCCCCACTGATGGTACGCCTCTTGAGGATCCCACCCGATATCGCCATATTGTGGGTAGTCTGGTCTATCTCACTGTCACCAGACCCGACATTGCTCATGCTATTCATAAATTGAGTCAGTTTGCCAGTGCTCCTACTTCAGTTCATTTTGGACATTTGCTTCGTGTGTTACGCTATTTAAGGGGCACATCATCTCAGTGTTTGTTCTATGCTCGTGATAGTCCGCTTCAGCTTCATGCTTATTCGGACTCTACTTGGGCAAGTAATCCGACAGATCGTCGTTCTGTCACTGGTTATTGCATTTTTCTTGGTTCTTCTCCTCTTACATGGAAGTCCAAGAAGCAGGTTGCTGTATCACGCTCTAGCACAGAGGCAGAACTTCGAGCACTTGCCACTACCACTTCAGAGATTATATGGCTTCGGTGGTTGTTAGCTGATTTTAGTATTTCATCTGATGCTCCTACACCTCTTCTTTGTGATAATACTAGAGCCATACAAATTGCTAATGATCCCGTGAAGCATGAGCTTACAAAACACATTGGTGTCGATGCTTCATTTACCCGATCTCATTGTCATCAGAAAACAATTGTTCTTCAGTATGTGCCTTCAGAACTGCAAGTGGCATACTTTTTTACCAAAGCACAAACTAGAGAACAACATCGACTTCACTTGCTCAAACTCAATGCTTCGGATCCTCCACCTCCACCTTGAGTTTGAAGGGGGGTGTTAAGTATATTAAGGCCCAAAGCCTTATAGGCCCATGATGAACTCTATATATATTGTCCTTTCATATCGAAGGAACTTATTACTTCAGGAACTTATTACTTCAGAAACCCTAGGTACGTAACAACACATATACCCATGTTCTCTTCTGATCACCATTTGGTTCTTCTGGAATGGAACAAGGCTGCTATCCAAAGGAAGAAGAGATTTATGTTCGATTGCAGATGGGCTAAGATGGAAGATTCTCAGAAGGTTGTCGAACGGGCATGGAATAAGAATGTTATGGGAAATCCCCTGGTGCAAATTCAGAACAAAATCAGACACTGTAGAATTGGTTTGTTGAATTGGAATGGAAGGAATAAGCATAATTCAGGGGCCAGAATCACACAGGCTAAGGAAAACTTGAAGCTGCTGGAACAACAAGGGAAGAATAAAGACAAAGACCAATGGAATTTTTGGAAAGCAGAAATGAATGAGGCTTATAAACAAGAAGAAATTTTTTAGAAACAAAAGGCCAGGAATTTGTGGCTCAATGAAGGAGATAAAAATACGAAGTATTTCCACGCTTGTACAATCCAGAGGAGAAAGCAAAACAGTATTAAGAAATTGGTTAGGGCAGATGGGACAGAGTGTGTGACTGAGAAAGAAATTCTTCAAGAGCTGACAACTTTCTATGAGAATTTATTCCAGACCCAAGGCACCATACCTGATTACAGCCTGCTCACTGGTATCAATCCCTCCATTACCCAGGATGTAAATGCCCAACTAACTAGAGAGGTCACAGAACAAGAGATCAAAGCAGCTTTGTGGGATCTCAATCCTCAAAAGGCCCCGGGGTTAGACGGTATGACTTCCTTTTTTTTCCATTGCTACTGGAACATTATCAAAAAATACATTGTTTTGGCTATTTCCTATTTTTTTGCTCATGCTGTCATGCCTAGAGTTTGTAATCATACTCTTATTGTTCTTATTCCTAAAATCCAAAATCCTCTTACTCTAAGCCATTTCAGACCAATTAGTTTGTGTAATGTTATGTACAAAATCATATCTAAAACCCTAGCTAATAGACTCAAGCCTGTGCTTCATTTTTGTATTAGTAAAAACCAGTAAGTTTTTATCCCGGGTAGGCAAATTTTGGATAACGCGGTCATTGCCAATGAATGCATTCATTATCTTAATAATCTAAGAAAAGGAAACAATTACTTTTTGTCCTTAAAGCTTGATATGGCAAAAGCCTACGACCGGGTAGAATGGAATTTTTTGTTGGCCATTCTTAGGAAAATGGGTTTGTTTCCTGGATTTGGGCATGCATCAGTACTACTTCATTCTCTTTCTCTATAAATGGGGTGGCTGCAGGGTATATCCAACCTTCGAGATGGCTAAGGCAAGGGGACCCTCTTTTCCCTTACCTTTTCATTATTTTGTCTGAAGTTTTCTCAAATCCTCTCTTTCAGGCAAATTCAAGAAGGGATCTCCAAGGCATTAAAATCAGTAAATATTCTCCAGTGCTTACTCATTTTTTTTTGCAGACAACTCTCTCATTTTCTGTAAAGCTGATAGGCAAAATGCTGTTACCCTTCAGAACATTATTCATAAGTTTTGTAAAGCCTCGTGTCAACTTGTTAATTTTGATAAGTCATCTATATACTTTAGCAAAAATACTCCTCAGGCCCTAAGACTGGAGATTTGCAACATTTTGAATGGAGATCCTGAATTCCTGAGCCCCAGGTATTTGGGTCTTCCAATGGGAGTTGGCAAATCAAAAAGGGAAACATTTAAATTTGTTTTTGATTCAGTGCGGAAAAAAATAATGAGTTGAAAGAATAAATTTTTGAGTTTAGCAGGAAAAGAAGTTCTTCTGAAAGCAGTTATTAATGCTCTCCCTATTTATACTATGTCTTGCTTTAAAATTCCTGTAGCTATTTGTAAAAATATTTATAAAGTAGCTGCAAATTTTTGGTGGGGTAGCCAGGGTGAAGGGAGTAACAAGAAGATTCACTGGATGAGTTGGAGGAAGATGGCATTTCCAAAGGACTGGGGTGGATTAGGTTTTAAAGATTTTATAATATTTAATAACGCTTTGCTAGCCAAACAACTGTGGAGAGTTATTACTTGTCCTAATCTTTTAATGAGTAAGATTCTCAGAGGCAAATATTTTCACAGACAGAATTTGTTCGAAATTAAGGCTAGAGCTTCTAACTCATGGCTATGGAAATGTTGGCTGCGGGCTAAGGATACACTCAAGAAAGTATTAAGGTGGTAAGTAGGAGATGGGAAATGTGTGGGCATCTGGCACTCTCCTTGGCTGCCTAGAGACACTATAATTTTTTTGTCACCAGTGATGGCAGAGGGACAGGTTCATTAAGGATGGTGAGGGACTTGATGGATGAGGCTGGTTGTAATTGGAATAGAGAGCTGATTACTAATTTATTCAATTATGAGGAAGCTGAATTAATTCTTAAAACACCAATTAGTATTTGTGGTAACAAAGACAGGATTATCTGGCATTTTAATACTAATGGTGTTTTTACTGTCAATTCAGCATATCAAATCAACCAGAGGGCTCAACTTATTAGAGAGGATATTCCAGAAACCAGCAACTCAAAAATGGGGCAGGAAAACAGATGGAAAAGGATATGGAAGTTGCAGATGAAGAAGAAAGTAAGCCACTTCATATGGAAGTGTTGTCATGTGATAATTGCAACAGGGAAACAGCTGGAAAGAAGAAGAATACACACTGACCCTATATGCCAGGTATGTGGAAGTGAAGTTGAGGATTTGGAACATGTTCTTTTTAATTGTGAAAGAGCAAGACTTGTGTGGAAATTGGCACCTTTGTCATGGGAAATTTTAGAAACGAAAGTTGAAGCTTTTTCAGTGTGGTGGGATGAAATATGGAATGTGGAAAATGATAAATGTAAATTAGAGAGAATTCAGCTGTTTGTGTTCATCTTGTGGGGCATATGGAAGGCAAGGAACATCTGGAATTCTAAGAAGACTTGGCTGAGTGCTCATCAAATTATGCAAGGTGCCTGGAATGAATGGTTGGAGTACTGGAATGTGGAAGATAACATTAAAGAAGGTGAGGGAGAAGAAGTAAGGAAGAAGCAGAGGGGGGAGCTTCATAATTTTGAGCCCAAGAATGCTGATGGTGATAGGAATGAGGTAGGATGGATCTCCATATCCATCAGTGCCAAAAATTCTAACTCACTGGCATGGGAATTGGGAGTTGTGCCTGGGAAGATCCGAGAACCATTTTGAGAGCTTGGTGTTCTTATAGGGAGCTTGGTCAAGATCCAGTGGAGGAACAACTGCAAGCAATCAGATTGGCCTTGGTGAATGCAAGAAAAATCGAAATTTTAATAGATAATGAGGCTGTTGCGAGGAGACTAAGCTCGAGATATCTGTTCTCTATGAATAGTCATGTAATAGCCGATGATATTTATCTTATCTGTAATATTTTCGAAGCCTGTATATTTTGTAGTAAATCATGTAATATTGAAGATAACAGTGATAGGTTAGCTTCTTTTGCTATTCGTGGAGAAGTCTCAATGATATGGCTTGCTCCTGTTCATGCTTGGATCATGTGTTGATCTTAGTAACTGTATGACATCAGTTGATGTTTCGATTGTAATCGTTGTTTTGAATTTTATAAAATGCTGCCGTT